TGGTGCTGAGGATCGAACCCAGTACCTCACATGTCTAAGGCAAGCGCTCTACCCCTGAGCCCCACCCAGCCCCAGGCCCAGCCCCCAAAACTCCCTTTTATGGTCTTGCACGTCACCGTGCCCCAAGCCCTTCCCCTGGATGTCTTTGACAGATGGATTCAACCTCTAACTATCCTTGGAAGGGGAGAGGGATGGCCCAGCCTCCCACGGGGAACTCCCACCACCCCCAGCTCCCACGTGGCACCCATCAGCATCAGCAGAGAATGGCTGGAACCCAGAGAGGAAGATGGGATCCAGATGTGCAGAGGGTCCTCGGGCCTGGGAACCAGGACCACCCGTGTGTGACAGCCTCAGTGCCCCCTGGCTATTCTTCCTTCAGGGCACTGGCAGAGAATGGGCCCTCGGATCCCACTTACCCTCTGGTAGTACACATGGGCCAGGACGCCTGCCACCAGCTCCACCAGGAAGATGACAAGCAACAGGCAGAAATACTAGGACCAAGGAGAGAGGACAGTCACCACCAGGGGTCAGAGCATTCCTGGGACAAATGTCCCCCCAAAACAAATAGGAGCAGTAGAGACACCAGCTGGGGACCGCCATCACCTACCATCCTCCTTCTCTTACCAGCAGGACATCACGACCTCTGCTGGCACCAAGTGCCCCACTCTCTCCTCCACCCATGGCCATTGCTCTGCTGTGATCCCGTCATCCACCTCCCCACTGAATGCCCACCGGGGTCCAGGTGCCAGCTGTCATGATAAGGTGGTTATTGCCCTCAAAGTTTGTGGTAGGGGAGAGACAAATAAGTGGTGACGATGTCGTGCTATCAATACTACGGTAGGGAAAGCTCTGGAAACGGTGAGAGGATCCTGGTGGGGTGAGCGGTCAGAGAAGGCTTCCTGGAGGTGGCGATGTCCGAGCAGCATCTCTGAGGATGTGGAGGTATTTTCAGGTGGAGGAGGAAGCAGGGGTAGAGCGTGTGCCTGAGGACTGAGAAAGTACTCGGGGAGTGGCCAGGGCCCAGGTGGCTAGAGAATGGGGGGCCATAAACCTTGATGTGGCTGTGTCCCTGGAGTATGCTGTTTTTAAGTCCTTTGGGTATAGTCCAAGGAGAGGAATAGCTGGTTCAAATGGTGGTTCCATTCCCAATTTTCCAAGGATCTCATACTGCTTTCCATATCGGCCACACCATTTTGCAGTTCCACCAGCAGTGTTATGAGTGTACCTTTTTCTCCACATCCTCGCCAACACTTATTGTTGTTTGTATGCATAATAGCTGCCATTCTGACTGGAGTGAGATGAGATCTTAGAGTGGTTTTGATTTGCATTTCTCTAATTGCTACTCTAATTGCTAGTGATGATGAACATTTTTTCATATATTTGCTGATTGATTGTGTATCCTCTTCTGGGAAGTGTCTGTTCATGTCCTTGGCCCATTTATTGACTGGGTTATTTGTTTTTTTGATGCTTAGCTTTTTGAGTTCTTTATAGACCCTAGAGATAGCAGCACAATTCACAATAGCTAAACTGTGGAACCAACCTAGATGCCCTTCAATAGATGAATGGATAAAAAAAATGTGGCATATATACACAATGGAATTTTACTCAGCAATAAGACAGAATAAAATCATGGCATTTGCAGATAAATGGATGGCGTTGGAGAAGATAATGCTAAGTGAAGTGAGCCAATCCCAAAAAACCAAATGCCAAATGTTTTCTCTGATATAAGGAGGCTGATTCATAGTTGGGTAGGGAGGGGAAGCATGGGAGGAATAGATGAGCTCTAGATAGGACAGAGGGGTGGGAGGGGTGGGAGGGGGCGAGGGGTTATTAATGATGGTGGAATGTGATGGACATCATTATCCAAAGTACATGTATGAAGAGATGAATTGGTGTGAATATACTTTATATACAGAGATATGAAAAATTCTGCTTTATATGTGTAATAGGAATTATAATACATTCTGCTGTCATGTATTTAAAAGATAAAATCAATAAAAAAAAAAGAGAATGGGGGCCAGAGGGGCAGGCTGGGCAGTGCAACCAAGACTCAGCAGAGGGCCCAGGCTGATGTCCAGGAGGCTACTGGGCCCCTTCCTGCCCCATGCTGCCTCCCAGCCTTCGCAGCCCTGCAGCCTGTTCTTCCCGTCACCATGCCGACCTCCTCCAGGCCCAGGGCAGCTCTTCAGCTCCGCTCCTGCCGGGGCTTCCTGGCTGTGCACTGTGACCAGCAGGACAGGCCCGCCCTCCTCCCCTCCCACCAGGCCTTGCTCTGTTAAGGAGCCTCTGGACACAGCTGGACCCTGGCGTGTTCTTATAGGAGTCAAGAAGGCAGGCCCACATGGGCTGGGAGGGACCAGGGAGAGGGAGATAAAGAGGTGGGGGGTGAAGGGAGGAGGGGAGAGGAGGGCTGGGTTGGTGGAGCACAGGGTGCCGACCAGGGGTCCACATTCCAGTGGCTCCCCAGCTGCAGGGCAGACCCTTCGTGGAGGCTTAGGCCATCTGGACAGGAGATCCCAAGCTCCCGGGTGCTGGGATGAGGATGGCAGAGGGTGGCAGCTTCCATGAGGGCACGTTCCCTGGGCCCCATGGTCTACAGATGGTTCTGAATGGGACCCAGGGTAAGCTCAGGCAGGGAGCTGGCAGGGGGGTCTGTGGATGGTCCCCCTCTGCCCTCTGAACTAAAGCCCCAAAAACCTGGTCTGAAAGGCGGGTGGCCAATCAACCAATGGGGCTTGAGTCCGGTGCCGCCACTCTCTGGCTCTGGCTGGGTGACCATGAATGCCTTACTGTAAATTAGGAAAATGTTCTCCAGTGAGAAGACCGTGGCTCTGTGGGAGCTGTTCAGGCTGGATTTCATCCTTGACTGGTCGCCTTTGGAGGATGCAAGCTTTAGGGCCATGCCGGGTGGCCCTGACTGTGGGACCGGCCTGGCCTCCCTTTCCTCTCCAGTGGATAATGGCTCTATGGCCTGCCCTGCCCACCCTGAGCGTTGGGAGGACTACAGGAGGGGAAAAGTGCTTCATGATGCTGTTCCCTCCTTCCCTCCCAGGGCTCACAGCCCAAAGGTGTGAGGTGAACAGTGCTCGAGAGCCAGAGGCGGCGCGGTCATCCCAGGCCATGTGCGGAGCTGCCCATCCCGTCAGCCAGTGTTGGAGTGTGGCTGCATTGTCACTCAGGGTCTTCCCTCTCCTCCACCTCATGTTCCTCAGGGCCCCTGGGTACTGGGTCCCTAAATTCTCTCTGACGTGGCTGTCCTTCCTGCTGGTTCCAAGTGCCCTCCTCTCCCTTGCCCTACCGTGGTTCTGAGGATAGCCCCGTCCTGTCACACAGGACCTGTGGGCCCTGAGGGCTGGCTACCTCCAGGCCTCCTGGGGCACACCTGTGTGCCCCCCAAGGTGGGAGGAAGGGGTGAAGGAGCCCGTAACTGTCAGGGAGAAGCCGCAGCTGCTGGCAGCGACAAGGGCAGCATCTGGCCCCCCGCCTTCCCTCCACCAGTGCTGTCAGCTGTAACTGGCACACGGGTGATCGTCCTGAAGATGTGACCATGTCACGCTCCTCCCCTGGGGATGCCACTGCTACGGTTGCTGCTGAAGACAGGTGGGGAAGAGAGGGGGGGAAGGGAGAGACAGGGACGCACACTGCTCGAATTAATGGCAGGCTAGCTCCCCAGAGACTTGTCGGGGGCATCCCACGGACTAGTAATTGACGGGCCGACAGTAGGAGGGGAGGGGCATCGGTGCTGAGCAGAGTGAGGGGCTCCAGGGTGTGAAGATGCCGTGGGAGGAAGGTGAGGGCCAGGCCTGGGGATCTGAGGGGAAGGAAGCCAGGGTGCTTGGTGGGCATGCGCTCTGGCTCCAGGCAGCAGCTTCCGTGCAGATTGGCTGCAGGTGTGTGACTCACCTGGGCGGGGGAGGCCCTGAGTCACGGCTCCCTGTGTGACAGCTCCCAGGAGGCAAAGGGTGGTACTCATTGAGATCCTCGGGCTCAAGGGTCCTGGCAGCCCTGCCCGTGGCGGGCTGAAGTCCCCTGGTAATGAGGCTAGGTCGCTGAGGTTTTCACCTTGTGTGGCCATGGGTTCTAACAAACGCCTCACCTCTGCCCTGAAGGGTGGCAGTCCTTCCAGACATGTCCAGTGGACTTATCTCAGGACTCCTAACTGCTGTCTGTGCAAATCTGAGAAGCATTCCAGGTGTCCCTGAGTATAGTTCCCTTCCGTACAGGTCACACCGTCCAGCCTTGGAGGATTTGACCTCCCTGGTCCCCCTGCCTGGAATTCCAGTGCCTGCTGTCCTTCAATGCCCCAGCTAGGTCCACTAAGCCATCCCTGGTTGGCAGTGCCAAGCCCTTGCCAATGCTCGTAGTGCTTCATCTGCCTCCTTCCTGCCCGACAAGCACATTCTGCTTGCTCCTTCCCTCTGAACCGGGAGTCCCTGCCTGCCCACCACATTGCTCCCTGGGGTTAGCCTTCCCTGGTAGAAGCACACAATTGTACCCACTGCTTGGTCTCAGTTGATTTGGCTGCAGGTATCAACCTCTGATGGCAGCTTCTGGGAAATGGGTCCACTCCCTAGATTCTTCTGGCTCCTCCACAGTGGCCGGAATGGTCTTGGGTCTAGACATCTGCTTGGGAAACACCCCCTGGTTTAGATGGAGAAGTATGTTGCTTACAAAGTATGCCTCTGAGATAGCAGGAGCCGGACAGAACCCACCAGAACAGCCTGGCATGATTTTCCTCCTGGAGGCCATTCGGCAATGTCTGAAGACATTATTTTGTGGTCACATCTGGGAGAAGGCAGTACTACCGGCACATAAAAGGTAGAGGCCAAGATGCTGTTGACCATCCAGTCGTGCACGGGGCACTTCCCACAATAGAGAATTATTTGATTGAAAAGGCCAACAGGGTCAAGGGTGAGAAAACCTGAGCTAGACATTTGCCTTCTAATTCTAAGGCTGATGCTGGGATCTGATTTGCATAAGTGTCTCTGTGCACTTTGGGAGGCACAAAAAGAAGATCTTGGAAACGTTCCCTAACTTTTGAGAAGCCAAGAACTGAACACAGAATCAATCCTCCTGCCTGGGAGGGCAGGAAGTTGCTCACCTTGACCTAAGCAGGGGCCAGGAAAGTCTAAACTGCTTCAGCTCACATCCCCAGAGGATCTGGAGGCTGGAGAGGGAGCTTCATGGGGCTAGGGACATTCCTCACACTGTTGAATGGTTCCCCAAGGAAGAGTCTTCTCTTCTGAAATAGTTGTAGATCTCCCCAGTTGCTTTCAGTGAGCAGAGAAGGGATGTGCTGCCATTAAAGTTGGTGGAAGAGATTAACTCTAGGAAGCCTGAAGAAGGTTCTGGAGTCACTTCTTGTCTTCTTTTACATTTGGTTTGGTATTGGTTTTTTGAATTATTAAACAAAAACCAATAAGGAACTTTCAGCTAATTTGTCATTTGGGTGAGTTCTATTTGAATGCAATTTAGTGTTTAACTTTTGCTG